GCTCCAGTGTGTTGACCCTGCCTCGGGCTCATCGAATGCGGCTGCTACCCCAGCTGCAGGAGGACACTGAGCATTTCAGAGCAGGGGTGCCCCCGGCAGCTAGTGAGCTGTCCTGGGCTGCAGGTGTATTTTGTTTTCCCTGCACAGAGTTTAAACAACTTTTTGAAGTCGGTGCCAATATTTTTGAAAGCAAGAGACTTTACATAGATACTGCTGTGCACCTTCCTTTGTTACTGCAGAAGATCTGGAATGTTTGGTCCGCTGTCTTGTGAGGGTCCTGCTGTCTCCATTTCTCCCCAGGCCACACCCTTCCCTATCACTTCTGATGGTACCATAGGTACCCATATACATTGTCTTCTTCTCATTATTTTTATTATTCATTTGAATTTATTTATTATTTTTATTTTTTTAGAGACAGGATCTCTTTCTGTCACCCAGGCTGCAGTGCTGTGGCACCAGCATAGATCACTGCAGCCTCAACCTCCCAGGCTCAAGTAATCCTTCTGCCTCAGCCTCCCAAGTAGCTAGGACTACAGGCGCACACCACCATGCCTGGCTTCCACATAAGCTATGTTCCCAGCCTCTGCAGACATTTGTGATGGCAACCCCTGTGAACCCAGAGGCATGCTTCCACACTCCTTCTAGTACCTGGGTTGGGTGCAGGAATGGCCTCATATCTAGGCAGTCCTGATCCTAAGCCTCCTCGCCTTCCCTCTCCCACCGTCTAACCAGAGGAATGAGACACTGGGATAAGCTCTTTGAATATAGCATTTCACTGACTCTTCACAACAGGCAGCTGACGTCATTACTATTTCTCCATTTTACAGATGAGAAAACTGAGGTTCCAACAGGTTATGGTCATCCATCTCCATGGATGCAGCAGCTTCCACCTCTCCAGCTCACTTGAGGAGCTTTGCAAAGACACAGCCTTCTGGACCTCACCCGAAGCCTCCCAGTCCCAAAGCTCTCAGTGGTGGGGCTGGGGAACCCTGTCTTAAACGGCTCTCCTGTGAGATGCTGGGTCAGGTTTGGGCCCCACTTCTCTTAATGGTCGTGTGGAGGGTGGGAGCAGAGGCCCCTCCCGCTCCAAGCACCATAAAGGAATGATCTCATTCCTTCTCAAATCCAGATTCTGCCCCAGATTTGCTGCACAGTCTGAAGCCAACCACTCTCCAAGCTCCGCACCTGAGTTTCCCCATGTGTGGAAGGAGAAAATAGCTCCCGCCCCCTGCCTGCCTTCCAGGAATGGGCACGTGGAGCAGGCTCCGCGGGAGGCAGGGAGGGGGTGTGGCTGGGACTTGCGGGTGCCTGTGCTTCTCTCAGAGCCACTGGCACCCCACCTGCCCCCTGTGGTGGGGCTGGAGCTCAGTCTGTCCCCACCTCTTGTCCCCCTCACCATTTGTACCAGTCCCTCCTTCCCAGGACCCTGGGCTGGCTGCAGCTGCTCCAGCTCCTCCTCCGCAGCCAGGTGCTTCTGTCCTCCCCCTCCTGCCTACACTGTTGCCTGCCATTGGGGTCCCCCTTGGAGCTGGAAATCGCTGACTTGAGTGGCAGAGCAGGGAGCCACCACCCATTAAAGAACCTTCAATTCAGAGGGGAGTCCCGTGGGATGGCCCCATCATACAGGCTATCTGAGTTCCAGGTGGGCTCAAGTCAGAGCTGGGACCAGAAATGAGGCAGCCACCAGGCCAGGGCTAGGGACCGCTCGGTGGCTGAGTCCATCTTGAGCCCGGACATGCTTGTGTCTGGATGTTAGCTGTCTGCCATGTAGTGGCGCTGTGCAATCTCCTTCTATTCCCTGACCTCACAGGCCTCAGCCTCCTCATCTGAAAACATGAGGCTGGGGGAGCACTGCCCCCGCAGGGAGAGCTCCAGCGGGTGGGGATCAGGTCCGGCTTGCTCAGTGCTGTGTCCTTGGCTTGCAGGATCTGAACCATTCAATAACCATCGGGAAATTAAACAACTATTGATTAAACAAGAAAATACACATGAAGCCGTTAATAACAGCACTCAATAGCAAATGAGCCCATAGCAAATGCTGGATAAACATTTGCTGTTCTTGTTAGTGGACCGCAGCGGAGCCACTGGGCAACATGGCGGTCATGAAATTCTGAGGGAATCCCCAGAACAGGTTCAGTGTGAAATCCCAGAGCCCGGGAACCCCCAGGGGGTCCCTGGTGCCCACTCAGGAACTTCGGGTGCCACATCCCCCTTTGTCACGGGTCCTGCGTCTCTGGCTTCTCAGCACGGCTGGACTTTCCCAGGGGAAATGAAGAGGGAAAAGGGGAGGTAGCCTCAGCTCTTCCTTGAACCATCTAACCCGACCCAATTCAACGACAAGCCAAGCTGCTGCCTGAAGAGTGTTTACTCTCTCTCTGAATTGATTGCACACTCTCGCCACCACCTCGGCTCCTCCCTGCCGCCCGCAGAGGCTGGGTGCCAAGGGGAACCACCTCCAGGGAGATATGAGCTCCAGGCAGCCTCAGTTGTCTTGTCACAGATGGGAAATCGAGACAGGGTGCAGAGGGGCAGGGTTTGAACCCCAGGTCACCCTGCTGGGGTTGAAGTGGCACCACCAGACCCTGACCATCACAGGCCCATTCTGGACCCTACAGCTGGCCCAGACATGAGGGCCCCACATGAGCCGCCTTAGGAAATGTAAGGCAGGGTCCTTGAACAGTTGCCTGAAGATGAGGGTTTCCCTGAGCAGCCCAAGGTCAGAAGACAAGCCAGGAGCCTGCAGGGCCTGGGGAGCTGGTTCCCAGCCCTGAGCTGCTAAGCCCGGGGATTGGCGGGTGTCTAGTAACAACCAGACAATGGCATTCCAAGGGCAGAGGTCACAGAGATGCCCAGGGGCTGAAAGTCTGGACACCAGCTTCCACCACAGTGCCTGAATATGGGGTGTTTTCCAGAACATTCCTGATTTTGAGTATCCTGTCCCAATTGAGGTGGGTTAGAGATCACGGGTATCAGAACCACGGACCCCTGTCTGCACCTGCTTCACTCCCATCTGCCAGACTTGAAGCTGACTCTGGCTTCATGAACGACCTGCCTTTGCCTTTGCCTTTGCCCACCTGGAATTCACACACGCCGTCAAAGTGAAACAAAATGCAAACACAAGCTGGAAACAGCAGCACCACAGTGGCCTGTCCAGCCTCACCATGCAGGCGTCACCACAGCATATGGCTGGCAAACGGGCTTCCAGCCTTTCTCCCCAACCCATGATGTTTGTCCCAGTCTTGTGTACACTTACAGCCGATGTGTGTTCAAGACGCAGAAATGATACACAAGGCGTATCATATATTTTACAAAAACAGGATTATGCTCTACATGCCATATGGCAAATCACTTTTTCCACTTGTCAGGAATTACAGATTTGGGTGGGCATTGAGAGCCTGCAGTGGAGAGATGCCCACAGTGAGTGATCATCCCAGCTGGGCTCCCCAGGTGCAGCCCCTGTCTGCACCTGCCTAAGCCAGGCTCCTGGCCCGGACTGCCCCAGCACCCTTGGGTCTCAACTCTCTCCTCCCTCAGCCCACCCCAGCCCTCTCACTCCATTATTTTGTCCAATTTTTAAAATTAAACACCTTTTCTTTTTAGCACATATTATGTGCCAGGCTCTGTTCTGAGTACTTCATCAACTTTAACTCATTTAACCCTCACCATAATCCAGCAAGAGAAGTATGCTTGTTATCATCCCCATTCTACAGATGGCCCAGGGAAGACGGCATTGCCCCCACAGACTGGCATATTATCTGCCAAAATAATCAATGACTTAGGACAGCACAGAACCATGTATTCCTCCACAATCTAAACAGTTTTTGGGAGGTAAAGGCTGCTTTCTTCTCCTATGACAGTCTTTTGCCTTCCTCAAAGTTTCCTCAAAACACATTCCTCTCCAAAGCTGGCCAAGAAAGAGCTGCTTCAGCAGGTGTGGGGTGTCCACACCCTGCACATTCCAGAGAAAGGTCTGACTCTGGCTTACTGCGAGGTGACCCCTAATCCATAAGCCCTTGGAGTGTCCTGTCTAGAAAGAGAGTCCATGTTTGCCTGCGGGTCTTGGCACACATCAGAAAGCCTACGCTGATGAGATTTACTGGGGGGCCTTGGGCCGTGTAGTATCAGCTCGACCTCTGCAGGGATTGACACCAAAGACCAGCCACATCATCAGCAATGCCTCTACCATCAGCTTCCAATAAAAACTCCACACTGAGGCTTCGGTACGCATCCCTGCCTGGCGATAGCTCACAAGCGTTGTCCCATGTCACTGCCGGGAGAATCAAGTGCTGCCTGCACAACCCCACTGGGAGGGCACAATGAGAAGCTTGCACCTGCTATCTCCTGGACCCAGACCTGGGCACCTTTTCCTGTTGCTGATTTTAATCTGTATCCTTCATTGTAATAAATCATCACTGTGAATATAGCAGCTTTGCTGAGTTCTGTGAGATTTTCTAGTGAATCGTAGAGCCTAAAGGTGGTCTCGGAAACCCTTGAATGTGAGTCAGTGGACGTTCACTGAGTCAGTGGACAGCCTCAGAGCACTTCTCACAGTCAGCACCAGGAGTTAGCCCAGCCCTGCCCAGACAGACTCCACTCCTGCCCGCCACACCTCCAACACATGTACTTCCTTCCTCCAACACATGCACCTCCTTCGGTGGAAAAGCTCAGGCATTGGGTCTGTGCAGTCCCGGCCATCCTAGACAGCCCCTATGATGTAATATCAGGTAATGTTCTGGGAACCAGGTAATGTCCCAGGTGCTAGGTAACCTCCTGGAAACCAAGTAACATCTCAAGAACCAGGTTATGTCCGAGGTACCAGGTAACATCCCAAGAACCAGGGGATGTATCACATACCAGGTAACCTCAAGGGAACCAGGTAACATCCCAAGAACCCGGTCATGTTTCACATACCAGGTAACATCCCAGGTATCCAAACACATCCCAGGTAACGGATAGCATCAAAGGTGGCAGGTGACATCCAGGGCTTCCCCCGGCCTTACCTGCCAATGACCTCGATGTTGGAGATGGCATAGAAGTACTTGTAGAGGTTCTCCCGCTGCACGTAGGTGCCGCCCAGCGCCGGGCGCAGCAACCGCATGCGCAGGTCAGTGAGGGTGAAGAACTCCTTGAGGCCCTTGGCGCTCTCCAGACGCGTGTAGAGGTTGTCCATGTTGCGCAGGTCGGGGCCGGCAAAGATGGCGAAGCGGTCCCGCACCTCGAAGCGCACGTGCTTCTCCTTCTTGGAGCCTGCCCAGCGCGAGTACTCCTCGGTGCAGAGCACGCGGTGGGCGCTGGAGGACGACATGTCCCGGGCCCGGCGGGCGGACATGCCAAAGGCCTCCATGCAGTCCTCGGCGTAGAACTGGTAGGGCTGCCACGTGCGCCCGTTGTCCAGGGACTTCTCCAGGACCATGACCGTGGGCCGGCCATACTCGAAGGTCATCACCACGTCATCGGTCAGCTCCACGGTCTTGTTCCACGAAAGGGTGATGTTGGCTTCCAGCGGGCTGGGGTAGCGGCTCCACGTGATGCTCTGCCAGTAGGTGGCCAGGCCCTCCTCCTCCTTGTCGAACATGAGCCTAGGCGGGTGGGCCAGGTCCGGGTTGGAGGCGTCACACTCGTTGCTGCACAGGTAGGGATTCTCCTGCAGCGGGGACAGGAGAAGGGAAGGGTGGGTGCTGGATGCTCGGGACGGCCTGGGAAGCCTCTGCCCAGCCTGGCCCCTGCTTGCAAGCCCAGACGCCTGCTCTGTGGCTACAGGGCCTGTGCTCCGGTGCCCAGACATAGCTGGGGGATTTGTGCCCATTTCCTCAATGCGTGCAGAGGTGTGCCATCCCATGGCTTCCCAAGAAATGCACACTTGTTCCTGCTCTAACTACAGACAACCAAGGAGGCTGGGTGTTAGTCCCCTGCTCTGAAGCCTTCCATGGCTCCCCATTGCCTAGAGTACACAGTCCTGACTCTGTAATATACTGACCCCAACCTGCCCTCCCACACCTGGTGACACTGTGCCTGGGCCTCCCCAGGACATCTGTCCTCCTGCCCCTGCCTGGTTGTACCTCTGAGTCTTTGTAGATGGCATTCTCTCTCCTTCACGTGCCCTTCCACTCTCTGTCTGCCTCAAAAATTCCCATTCACGTTCTCGACTCTCTAAACATCGCCTTAGCTGAGTCACCTTCACGAGCCTTTTATTTTTTAATTAATTAATTAATTTTTTTAAAAATTGAGATGGAGTCTTGCTTTGTTGCCCAGGATGGAGTGCAGTGGGGCGATCTTGGCTCACTGCAACCTCCACCTCCCAGGTTCCAGCAATTCTCCTGCCCCAACCTCCCAAGTAGCTGGGATTATAGGCATGGACCACCCTGGCCAGCTAATTTTTGCATTTTTAGTAGAGACAGGGTTTCGCCATGTTGGCCAGGCTGGTTTCGAACTCTGACCTCAGGTGATCTATCCGGCTTGCCCTCCCAAAGTGCTGGGATTACAGATGTGAGCCACTGCGCCTGGCCCCTGAGCCTTTTTACCTGTACCCTTAAGATTGGTAAACACATTGAGGTGCTCAAAGAGGGACTGGAAGCTCTGGGTCCCTTCCCAATCCCTTACTCTGTGAGTCTCTTCTATCTGGCTGTTCCTGAATTTGATAAATAGGTGAACGTAGGGAAAATGCCTTTCTGAGTTCTGTGAGCTATTCTAGCAAACTATCAAACCTGAGGGAGGGGTCGTGGGAACCCCCAATTTGCAGCCAATTGGGCAGGTATGGGAGGCAGGAACTTGCAGTTGCCTCAGAGGTGGGGGCAGTGTGGTGCGACTGAGCCCTTCACCTAAGCGTTCTGACGCCAGCTCTGGGCAGTGTCAGAATTGAACAGAATCATCAGACACCCAGTTGGTGTCCAGAGAGCTAGAGAATAGGTTGTTGGTGTGGAAAACCCATGCATTTAGTGTGAGAAGTGTCATTGATGGAAACAGGCCAAAGAGACCTGAAAATGTCACTAACGTAGTGGTTCCCAGGGTCAGAGGGATGACTAGGCCGAACACAGGGCATTTTTAGGACAGTGAGGCTATGCCGTATAATACTCTAGTGGTGGATGCATGCCATTATGCATGAGTCAAAACCCGTAGACCTGGGCCGGACGCGGTGGCTCACACCTGGAATCCCAGCACTTTGGGAGGCCGAGGCGGGCAGGTCGCCTGAGGTCAGGAGTTTGAGACCAGCCTGACCAACGTGGAGAAACCCCGTCTCTACCAAAAATACAAAAAAATTACCCAGGCATGGTGGCACATGCCTGTAATCCCAGTTACTCGCGAGGCCGAGGCAGGAGAATCACTTGCACCCGGGAGGCGGAGGTTGCAGTGAACCAAGATCGTGCCATTGCACTCCAGCCTGGGCAACAAGAGCAAGACTCCGTATCAAAAACAAACAAACAAACAAACAAAAAACCCCCATAGACCTGTACAACACAGTGAGTGAACTCTCAAGTAAACTATGGACTTTAGTTAATAATAATGTATCAACAATGGCTCATCAGACATGACTAATATGGTGGCTCATGCCTGGAATCCCAACACTCTGGGAGGCCGAGGCCGGAGGGTCACTTGAGCCCAGGAGTTTGAGACCAGCCCAGACAACACAGAGAGACCCTGTCTCTACAAACAATAAAAAATAAACTGGGTGTGGAGTGGTGGCACACGCCTCTAGTCCCAGCAACTCAGGGGGCAGAACTGGGAGGATCACTGGAGGCCAGGAGTTCAAGATCAACCTGGACAACACAGCAAGACCCTGTAGCTACAAAAACAATGTAAAGATTAGCTGGGCATAGTGGTGCACACCTGTGGTCCTAGCTACTTGGGAGGCTGGGGCTGGAGGCTTGCTTGAGCCCAGGAGTTTGAGGCTGCAGTGAGCTATGTAGCACCACTGCACTGTAGCCTGGATGACAGAGAGAGACCCTGTCTCTAAAGAAACCCCCCAAAACCCCAAATATCCCCCACTAATGCAAGATGTTGATAATAGGCGGGGAAAGATGGTGGGTGGGGGAGGGCGGCCTGGGGTTTTAGGTACTTTCTGTACTATCTGCTCAATTTTCTGTACATCTAAAACTGCTTTAAAATATTAAGTCTATTAATTAATTAAACAAACAAATAATCGAACACTGTCACTAACAGCCACACAGTGCTCCAGACCATTGCGGCCCTTTTTGATGAATATTTCAGGCATCTGTTTTGCTCAAAGACAAAATGGCTTAGATCTAAGTTAAAACTTCTCACTCTCAAATGAGCTGTTTGGCCTTCTTGGGGGAAGTGGGGCCCACCACCCTCCGAGGGACTGAGCCACACCCCTGCGGCCCCCACCAGGCGCCACTGCAGCAGCCTCAGCCTGTGGGCTTCGATCCTCTAGGGTGGAGAACAGATACCCCGGCTGCCTGGGGCTCCTTGGTGGCAGGGCTGACCCTCGGCTCATTAAGGCAGGTTCCACAAATCCCTCTTTGACCAAAATAGCTCTGTCCTCAGGCCCCCATGCAACCTCAGAGTGGCAGGAGCTCACCATAAAGTCCAGTACCTCCTTAAGCAGATGGGGAGACTGAGGCCAGGGCCAGGGCAGGACTGGCCCCAGCCTTCTGGAGAGCGGATGGCACCTCTGAGGAGGAGTCTGCTGTTACCATCAGAGATATCCACACCACTGGCAAGCCCACCGAGCCAGGACAGCAGAAGGACATGGCGGGGTCAGGGGGTGTGGTTCCCAGCTTCCCCACTCACTGGCTGGGTGACTCTGGGCAAGATGCTGCCCTGTCCTGTGCTGTTGCCTGGAATGGTGTGGGGCTGAGAGGCCATGGGGATGGCCCAATGGCCTGAGTGGGTAGCAGGTGCTGGGCTGGAGGAGGTAGGCTTGACCTGTGAGGGAGCTGGCAGCCAGGAAGGGCGCTCTGAGCCTGGACGCAGAATGGGCTCTGTTTGTGCCACTCGGGAGGAGGAGTGGTGGGCAGGCGCTCCAAGAGCTTGCACCTGGGCTCTGGCACTGAGGTACATGCCCCTCTTCCCCCAGCCCAGCCATCACCCCCTTCCCGAAGTCCCAGAGCTGCTTCTGTTGCCCCTGGGGACTTCCTAGGGGCTGAATGGTGTTCGCCCAAGGTTTCTATGTTGAAGCCCTAACCCTAGTATCTGAGAATGGGACTGTATTTGGAGATAGATTATCTTTCAAGAGGTGATTGAGGTTAAATGGGACCCTCAGGGTGGCCCTAGTCTAATCTGACTGGTGGCCTCAGAAGAAGTTTGGCTGCCTGATGAGACGCTAGGGCCCATGTGCACAGAGAAAAGGCCGTTGGAAGGCACAGTGAGACAGCGGCTGGCTCCAAGCCAGGGAGAGAGGCCTCTGCAGAAACCAAACCTGCCAACAACTTCGTCTGGGACTTCCAGCCTCCAGAACAAGGAAAGACGTTTTTGTTGTTTAAGCCACCTGGGTCTCGTGTGGTACTTTGTTATGGTGGCTGGAGCTAAGACAAGCCTCATCCCAGGTGTGAGCAAAGAGGGAACAGGGAGGAACGGGAGGAATGGCTCAGAGGGGTAGAGATGAATCGGGAGTTTTTGATGATTTCCCCAGAGGCTCTCTCTGGGGTCTCCCCCGCCAGCCTGGTTTCTTAGTACGCTGGCACCAAGTGGCGTCACACTGCCTCACCTCCCCAGAAAGCTCTTATCAACCCAGCACTGAAGCTGTGCCATTTCCCAGGCCACTTCGTCCTCTCCCACCTCGGAGCTTGTGCTCCTTTGGCCACTCTCTGTCCTCCTGGTTTTCAGAGCCCGCCCACATGTGCCTCCTCCAGGAGGCCCTCCTGACTTGAATCAATCTTTTTTTTTTTTTTTTTTTCTCGCTGTGTCCCCCAGTCTGGAGTGCAGTGGCGCGATCTTGGCTCACTGCAAGCTTCGCCTCCTGGGTTCACGCCATTTTCCTGCCTCAGCCTCCTGAGTAGCTGGGACTACAGGCGCCCACTACCGCGCCCAGCTAATTTTTTGTATTTTTAGTAGAGACGGGGTTTCACCGTGGTCTCGATCTCCTGACCTTGTGATTCACCCGCCTCGGCCTCCCAAAGTGCTGGGATTACAGGCATGAGCCACCGCACCTGGCCTTGAATCAATCTTTAAACCCAGTTCTCTCATCATCCATCGTAGAGTTGTTAATGTACTTATTGGGGACAGTGTAGTGAGGCCTCCATATTGGGCCTGGACCTCAGTAACCACTCACTCAATTATACTTATTATTATTATCATATTAATTAGCTATTAATCAAATGACAGTGATATTGACATATCTTCTATTGAGTGCTGATAGTATTCCTGTCAACTCCAACTGCTGAGCCACCCACACTTCCACCTTTTCCCTGGTCTCTCTTCGTCTTCCTGCCTTACTTAGCCCTACCCTGCCCAGGTCCCTGATGGGTTCTATGGGGTGGAGGCATTGAGGTAGGGACAGGGTATCCCTCAAAGCCCCCAGTTGCGCCTGGCCTGTCACTGGGAAGACTGACACAGCTGGTTCTGGCTGGAGATGGGGGCTCCATGCTGGCTGCTCCAACCTACAGGGCCCTCTGGCCCCCGCCCCGGCCCGGGAAGCAGATGGTCAGAAACTAATGAATCAGCCTGTGTGTTTACAGGCCCCTCGCC